ACGCTTGGGGAGCCCGGGTGGCCCCCAAAATTCCAAAAGGGGTTTGTTTCCCCGGGGGGGCAGAACCCCCGGCCCGCCCCTTTTTCGCCCGGCCATTAGGACCCAAAAGTTTGGTTGGGCCGGGGGGGGTTTTTGCCTTGGTGGCCTTAAAGGACCAGGGTTATTGGGGAAGGGTGGATTTGTTAGGGGGGCCCATTTGGGGGGTAAAGGAATCCGGGGTCCCCTTTGGATTGCTTGCTTGGGGGTTTTGTTCCCTTGGTTTTCCCTTTGTTTGGAGTTTAAACCGGTTTTCCCCCCCCCCCCCCCCCCCCGCGCGCTGGGGCATGCCCCCTCGTTGTAATTGAAGCCCTTTGGATGCGCAGTAGGATCAGAGTGGTGTTCCTGTTACTCTCCGGGAAGATTTCTCATTATTGCTGACGAACGCACTGCAGTGAACACCCTTCGTTTTGTTCTCATCTCATTCGTTGTTGGCATGCCATTGTTGTGGTACCTTATGCTGCCAGGCTTTGATGGAGCTAGGCGCAACCGTCTGCACGGTCAAGAATCCCTCCTGCTCTGCCTGCCCCGTAAGAACGTCATGCTTCGCCAAGAAGCTTACCTCCGCAGGATCCAAAGGACCCAAACACGCGGCATCTTCTACGAGGGGCACCGCTTTTGCGGCAGGCAACAACAGCAGCAGCAGCAGCAGCAGCAGCAGCAGCAGCAGCAGCAGGACGGCCAGGCCTTCCCCCTCATCCGTTGTCTCACGAGAGAACGGCGAGCTGGGCGCTTGCGGTTGCACTGTGTGCGAGGTTGGGGAGGATGGGATGGCGGTGGTACCAACGGCCGTGACAGACTTTCCGCGGAAGGCTGCCAAGACGTGAGCATTACCTCGGCCTCCTGCCTTGTTTGAACGTGCTTTTATGCATTGAATCTGCCGCGCTACCCCTGACACACGGCATCGCGTGCTCACGTGCATGCCCACAATGTTCTCTATGATACGGCAGGCGCGTTCTTAGACCTTTTGAGGTCTCTGGTTGACTGGGCGCGAGCATTTCGTTCCAACGAGAAGTCGACAGTGTGACGGTGTGGTCGTCGGTTGGGGTCCGCCGAATTCTGTCTCTGCTCTTGACCGCGTATTTTTTCGCCTTGTCTCCATGCTGTCTCTTGCTCAGGCTGGTGAAAGATCAAGCGCTCTCGGTGTCTGTAGTTGAACGCGACGGACCGGCGGGCCCGCAGGTCCTACTCGTTAAACGTCCGGAAACGGTGAGACGTGCACATCCCTTTTTTCCACAGCCGAGTTTCGAGCCCGGGACGAGGCCGTGCATAAAATGGGCGGCCTTCCGTAGTGCCGTGAGCCCTCAGTACGGCCGGTTCAACCGCGACACACAGAAAAAAGTAGATCAACGTAGTTTCATACGGTGGATAGTGCCAGCGGATGTCGGCAGGAGTGCCGGGATACCGGCTGGCACATGCTGGCGCTATCGCGAGCCCATCACTGTTGTAACTCGTGTGGGCATACCGCTCGCCACGGTGTAAACAGCACGCCATGGTGACTCTATTGGCGACTTCATATGGATGTTTCACACGGGTGTCTATGTTTGTGACCCGTCCTAGTGATCGATAGCGTAGTCGGTGCTTCCTTTCCTTTCGAGATTTACCGTGTTTCGATCGCCCAGCGTGAACTACGTGTTTCTTGTTTGGCTTTGATGGTGTTTTGGACTCGAGCCACCAGTGTTATTGGCTCGCGATGTCGGCTCCTCGGCGACCCTCGCCTTAACTTGTCTATCTCAGGGGTTGCTTGCCGGTCAGTGGGAATGCCCCTGTGTTATGCTTAGGGATGGGTCGGAGCCGAGGAGCTCTGACGCCGGAAATCGGGCAAGAGGGACTGTTGTTCCTTCGTCCGATGTGCCGGAGAAGGAAAGGTTGCGATTGGTGGACGCCTTCCTGTTTTGTGATCTGGGCCTCTCTGAGACCCTCGTTCGAAGTGAGTGCGTATTCCCGAAATGTGCCATAGAAATATTGGCCGCTTTTTTTTTTTTTGGCGCTCAACGCCACGAACGAGCAGATTGCTGGGCAAGTAGAGGATGTGAACATCAGGTAACCTTTTCGCAGTTCTGGGCGTAGGATTTTTCGAGAGAAAATAAACCATGTCATGTGCACATGTGGTGCGGCCATATTTGTTGTCTCTTGCTTGATGCCGACATACCCTCGGCCGGCTTGCAAACATCGAAAGGGTGGTATTGGCTGGGGAAAGTCCACCGTGTTCTTTAGAGAACCGAGGCAATGTTGAACCTTTCGATGTTGACAACATCGAAGTCTTGTAGGTCCCCCCGCACTATTGTTTGACACGGTGGTCTCTCAGGCATGCTGATTGGCCAGGGAGGTACGTCTACGCACATCTGTACGTGAGCGGCGTTAAGTTCTAGCTGTTGCGGCCTCTTCAATCTCAGATATGCGTGCTTATCCCGTGTTTCGTCCCCCACCCCTTATTTCTTCCTGTTGTCGTCCTCTTAGGTAGAGCGAGCGTAGGCACCGCAACGCACGTGTTCTCTCACTTAAGGCACACCATGCAGGTATGAGCAAAATCGAACCAAGACAAGTCCTACTTCAAATCTTGTGTGGTATGTACCACAGTGAGTGCGGTAGTCGCACCTCTTTTCGCCAAGATGATCGCTAAGAAGGTGGGGATAACATTGATTTTCCGTGCCGGCGTCGAGGAAGCATGCTTTTGATTGTTTGCCCAGTTTAAGGTGGATGGTTAATTGCGCGGTCCGAGTAAAGAACGCCTGTCGAGGTGCAAAACAAGTTTTTGATCTCTCTTGCAAAACAATGTCGACTCAATGACGAAAAGTCCTTCCAGAAACCGCTCACAGTAAGGTGCGGTAGTTAATTTTCTTTTCGATCGGCACACATCGCAGTTTCTACATTGGCCGCGTTGACGGGAGGCGGACATCAAAATGTTGTGGGAACATGCATTTCGTTATCCATGTGACAACTCGAGTGTAGGGACATTCACACGCGGTGCGTCCAGTACCGGCAGGTGAATCTCGCATATTTTATGGGAAGAAACAGGTTTCGCGTTCCGACGAGTACGATGCATTGTTTTGTTTCGAAACTGGTTGGTTCTTGCGTTGTTTCTCCCTGTGCTTGCGTTGCACCGGTGGACCTTACTCGTGTGTGTGTCGTGTCTCCACGTTCAGGTGGAACGCATAGAGATCGCGAGTGACCCTGGCATGGATGATAAATTTGGCACAACCAGCTCCCGGGAGGTGGGACATCACGCTGATAGCTGTAGACAGTTTGAGCAGGAAAACCTATTGAACAGCTTGCTAGGCAGAGTTTTCGGCGCCTTTGACATGTTGATGTCTATATATGCGTCCCTCTCTGTTCAGTTTGATCCGGTAAAGGTTGCGGTTGCTTCGTTGATGGTTTGTACCATTCTTATTCGTACAGTTGTCGGGGTATACACCTCCAATCTCTCATCTCCACGCATAGAGTACGACCTGGGGTAGCGACTACTGTTGCGTGCGCTGGCCGGTGGCGATAATAAAACCAAACCATGCAAATACAACGCAACTGAGCCCCCGCATGTGTGCCACGTTCGTTACGAATCACGTTCCAGAATCGCTGGGTGGATGTTTCCGACATGGGCGGGGTGGGCATCACCACCGGCATGAAGAAGGTGCTAGCTCTTGCTAGCAAAGCACGTGCCAGCAGCAGCAGAAGCACCAGCGGTGCCAAGAAGGGGACGAAAAGGGACGCGAAGAGAAAACTCGACGAGGAACCCAACCAGAGAACCACGAAGCAAACCAAGGGGGCTACAAAATGATCCACGCAAGCTGTTGGTTCATGTCCCCGCCCCCGTCCTCTCCCTCCTGTTGCCGAGGTGCGCTAGTATTCCTAATATTTAGCACCATGGAATCACGAGAGGCAATTGTGGGAGCATAACCCAAAGTATACGGCATTCGTGAGTTGGCGATGGAAGCGGCGAGGAAGGGGTGCTTTCGGCCGTTATATTTTGGCCTAGTTGCGGGAAGACGGGGGAAATGGCTGACGTATCACACGAGAGCAACGTATCGCTGGAGCGTATCCATTGGTGTCCATTTAAGTTGTCACCCGGGGTCTAGGTTCCAGCCGCTAGGTTGTCAATTCGAATCTTGGCGAGTTGTGTTCCCTGGGTTAGCCCTTGAAAAGGATTGAAGGAACTGATGTGCCATACCGAAGCCTTCTTGGACAACCGAGAGCAAGCATGGCTGAGGACGTTTTCTGTGTGACCGTCACCCAGATCGGAGCTCTTCTCCTATTAGCGAGGTAAGGCTGTATTATAAATGCTACACATCCAAATTATGTGAGGACGACTTGTCTTGTATTGCGCAGACATGTTCTTCCCGCTTTACGCAGACTCTACCGCTTAGGGCGATTAGGATACCTCTCGACCGCGTGGCGGCATGCTTTCCTCATATCTATTCACCCAACCCAGAATGCCCTGAGATCTGTGTGGTCGGACAAAGACAAGGAAACCCATGAAAGTCATCTGCCACCGCACTGCTGGACTTTCCAAGGGTTCCTCTTCTTGTTAAGTCCGAGCTGTGTTGCGAAAAGGCAATCGCTCCCAAGCAATAGAAAAGCGAAAAGTACCCCAGTTTCGGCAAGTTACCCCGAGGGGATGTTGAGAATACACTCCAAGAAACGGGTCGTCTCAATGAGCTCCCCCCCCCCCCCTTTCGCCAAAATATGTCCAGGTTCGACTATTATAAAAAACTTCCAGGGTCAACCCTCCCAGAGGGAGGTTCATCCTCGACCTTTGGCATTTTCCTCCATTGGCCACTTTCTGGGTCTTCACGTTTTGTCGGGGGCGTTTCGTTCTCGGAAAGTGGTGCGACTTCCTCTGGAGCTTGGATTTTTTTACTCGCTTTGTGCCGCATTGCGGATGTTGCTTGCGACCAGGTTTACTTGATCGAGATCACGAGATTATTTTACTGCGAGGACAACAACGATAACACAACACACACGACGACCACGAAATGTAGGCAATGCCTTCAAGTTGAAACAGCTTATCTCTGAAGTTCGAGGCAATATAAAACTACCAATGCCTCGACCATCACCACGACTTCATCAAGAAGTTGGGAGGAGGTTCAAATGACTCCTTGCCGATGACCCTAGCCGCGGAAATTCGCTTTGCGGTTCTTCTCTCAAATTAGCCACGTAGGTAGCACAATACTTAGCATTCGCCTGCTGCAAGGTCCAGATCAAGACATACCTTTCACCGATCGATGGATGTCGAGAGAAAGCTGGTAGTCATTACGCGAGAGCTGAACCTCCTTCTCGGTGACCTCGGACACTGACTAAAATTTCCGGCATCCGGACACTCTTTAACCTGCATCAACCGCATTTGAAGAAATATTCTACGGCAACAGGTGCAGCTTGCTCTACCTCCGGCGCTGAAAGCGCAAGTCAGCGCCCTAAAATTCAAGATGCCAAAACAAGCCCATCGTCATTTCGCTATGCCTGTTGAGGGCGCCGGCTTCGTTCTGGTGAATACTAGCTCGCGTGTTCGGGGCCTACATGTAGATATCACACCCGAAAACTACGGTTATATTTCCAGAGTGGGTAGATCGTCAAGAGCCCATGGCCCCGTGCAAACATTCGGGAGATATCATGCGACATAATCCAGACAACACGCGTTGAAATGGGGAGGAGGGCCTCTCTAGGCCATGTTCCGCACACTTATCGCAAGTCAAACCGCTCCCATACTGTCGGTTCTTCGTCTACAACCAGCATAGAGGAACTTCACTGATTCAGGGGCCAATCCTGCGTTACCCACTTTTGATCCCATCGGCTTTGGTTCGGCTCTAGAAACAACCAGCTGCCATGCAGGGCGAGCCGAAAACTCTATGGAAGAATCCATTCATCTCTATGGCAGAATCCATCTTTTACCATTAGAATATGCTCCTGGTAGACATGAGCACGGTTTTTTATGTGAAACCAACTACAACAGCAGCAGAGGCAATGACGACAACAACAGAGTGGGTATTCCTTGGAGCAACCGCTATCCCAGGCCAAGGTAAAGGTGGTAGCCGCGCCGCGGTTCACAACTCCTCACTCTTGGATCTATGATGACGCTGAAAGATTGACCAAGACCTTAGTTTGACTCTTGGAGCTCTACGGTTTGCCACGGTGGAAGAAACCGCCGCTGGGAGTTCACTCTCGCGGGCCGATTGTTGAGGCTGTTCTTGGGGCGGTTGGGGTGGACTCGAACCGGTTCTCGAGGTGGACGTCCTAGTATGAAATGGAAAAATTGGCATATAGATCAATCTTCATCAACCTTTGGTCTGTCTCAACCTCCTAACCACTCGGAATCATAATCTACAACCCCATTGTTTTCAACTCGGGTCCTGTAGGACCTCTTGGCCATGTTGACCATCACCCGTCCTCGCTGTGTCAACGAAGAAAGTTAGGCCCAGCCTGGGCGTTGGTGATGACGTTGTCCTTCTCTAGCGCGATTGCGACACTCGGAAAGCCCTCGACAGTACCACCCTCGTGAACAACGACTGGCTGCCCACCTTCGTATCTGGACTGGCTTGCTGGAGAAGAACGGTGTATTGCCTCGCCTCTTCCTCCGTTCTCTACTAAAGCCGGCAAGTCGTTGCTGGCCCCCTGTTCACGGGTGTTGGCAGGGTTACAGACAAATTTATCGAGCTAGACACCAGAGCACCGCCACTGACGGTTTTGGGAGCTTCGTGCCCAAAAAACAAAACGTTTTCAGGAAATAGTTGAAAGGAATAGACTAGTCTAGACAGAATTGCAGACGCGTTCCTCGAGAAAGCATTCCGTCAATGATTTATTTCATGATCAGGCTTTTTTGTTTGGTGGAGACCTCATCTACTGCAGTCCTGCCCACAAACGCGATTGTCCGTCAGCAGAATCCCAACTACGCCGTACCCCCCAACAGCAGGTATGGATACATTTCGATCAAAAGGAAACGCGAAGATGGAGAACGGCCGACGGGCAACCGAAAGAATGAGAGACGTCTTGAGGTTATACCTGTGTTGAGAATGACCGTCCATGTCGTTCCTGCCTCGCGTGAATGCTCGCAACACCACTTGAAGGCCGTGGTGTTGGTAGAAATGTTTGGGTGGACCCAATTTTAGAGAGAACTAGCTGCCCTGCATCATCCTGTCGCACCATCCTTCCACTCCGGCGTATCATTCATACCGTCCGTTGTCTCCAGTGCGACGTCCATTGGAGTACGCAAATTGCATCGCACCGCCGAAGAGGTTTCCTTGCTGACCTCGGCTGCGGCGAACGGCTCTATCACTTTTCCCCACCCCATTTCTCCTTTCCTCGCTCGATCCTTTTCCATCCTCTGCTTCGTGCACAGCGTCTCTCGAAAGACCCACGAACACTGGTGCCATCTGCTCGTCGCACCTGTGTGTTGGTGGCGTCGACGCTCCGGCAACGAGTTCTGCGGCATCGGCAGCACCCGCTGCAACAGCAACACCTCCATCTTTCTCGCTGGCTCGCAGACTTTCTCGCAGACTTTCTCGGATAACCTCTGCCACCGATGACAGCCTCCTTCGTAACGTCTGATGGGCCCCCACCAACCGGGAGACAATAGGCAAGGGGTTCGCAGTGGTCGGCTTAGCACAAGAAGCAGACGACGCGGCAACTGGCGGCGTGTCGATGCGCCCATACGGCCTTCTTGGCTGAGGAAGCTCATGAGTGGCGTGTACACCCTGTCTCACGCCGTCAACATATTTCACACCTGTTCTAGAGCCGATGGTGCCGGCGACACCGTTGCCGTCTTGCGAACTCGTAAAATGGTAATGGTCCAAGTTCAATCCTTTGTAGGAGAGCCTTACGTGCACCTGGTGGTCAGCTTCTGTGTCCAGTATGGTGGCGGAATTTCGAGCCCGTTCGTAGATGGTGCTTGCATCCGACGGCGTCTCCTACACCATGCGGGAGAGGCACAGTTTCATCTGAAATACTTCTCCTTATCATCTCCGACAGCGCAGGAGTCAAGTCCGATGCATCCGATGGATGGGCTGCGGTAGTTGAGGCTCCGGAGTCTACTCTACCATTGCCCAAAGGTCGTCTGCTAACCCCCCCTCGATCACTCTGGGCTCCACCACATTCTCCATCATCTCACTTGCTGTTCGCTGAGGACAAAGAAAATAACGAGAGGGACACGTTGGTAGAGGCACAATATGAATTGGATCGTGTAGCGTACCATTCACCGTGCACCTGGAATAACGCACCAGAACAATGAGTACTACCGTAGGGCTTCCACGCTTTGCTGATGATTCTTATGGGGCAAAGCGACGACCCTACACTTCCATGCCAACGGTGTCCGATGGCAATCACACCGGGATTGGCGAGGTTGTGCGCGTTGGTGCTCTCCGACAGCATCGAGAGAACCAGTGAAGGAGAGCAAGAGTTTCCTTGAAATTCTTCGAAGAGATTTTTGACCCAGGACCAAAGACCCCGTATCTGCACATGAAGCAAGTCAGCTACGGTCCGTAGAAATCGTTTCGAATATTTTAAGCTGGCCTTCCGAGCACGAGGGGAACACAGAAAGTGGGCGAAACCTCAATATGTTTCTAGTGAGCGGGAGTACGGGGGATGACATTTGATGCATCTTGTGGACACGCTTGTCGGGGTACTGCGCCATTCCTTTCCGTGGAATCGCGACGACGACTGAGCGCACTGTCTGGACGACCCTCGGACTTTTTTGTTCACTACTCTTGTGGGCACACTGAAGCTATGAAAGCATCGTTGGCGAGATGGGAAAGAAGGGTTCTACTGTTGTTGTACTTCAAGTAGTAGATAGATGACGGTCGAGCTCAACAAACTTTTCCGTTGTGCGCCAAACCTGCACCCCGTACATCATGGAGCGGCGACAATGGCATCACATACTGCACTCCAGACGGAACTCACTACCGACATGGCAAGCAAACGTTTCCGTACCTGGTTCCAGCAAGTTTGATACGAAGTATCATTCTCATCGCGTGTAACCATTATTTACCTACATAGGGATTCCATACGCCTTTGGTTTAGCGCGGAACACACGCAGACTCCCACTTGCCGTTGTTCGTCATCGAAGACCGCGACCCTGCCACCAAGGTTAGAACCAAGAGGTCAAGCTCTGGAGAAAACCAAACACCCATCCCTACTTGACTTCATATATACGGAGCAATCAAAACGATGTTGAGCCCACAC